ATGGCCTGGTAATGTTTGGAGAACCTCAAACTTCCTCAAGTCCCAAAGCTTTATCTTCCTCTCCATACCAGCTGTTGCCATGAGATGGCCATTGGAATGAAATGCCAAAGCTGTAACAGGCCCGTGATGACAGAACATCTTGACAAGGGGAGCAGAACTGGTAGGCTTCCACATGCTCACTGCGCCACCAGAATGGCCAACAGCAACTACACTATTGATGGGATTTACCTGCATTACATCGGACCGACCTAACCCAGTTCGGAAATTGCCTATCATCTCCCCTGTGGTAACATCTTGATAATGGAGCTGCCCAAATTTGTTTATCGATGCCAAGAGGAAATGTTTGTTCAGAAACTGAAGCTTCAGTACAGAACCATGTTCCTGAAGGACAGAAGAGAGAATTCAAGTACATATAATGCTAATGGACTAGTTACATGTTGAGATCAGGAGAAGGTCACGTGCACACAAATAGGCAAAATTAATCCTCGTGGGTACCATAGTTTTATTTCTTCCTAATATGAAATGGCCATCCCTCGTATTTCTGTAGACAAGTTTATCTACTAAAATGTTATATTTCATGCTCTTCCGGACACCTTCAGGAGGGGATTTCTAGTTTAAATTAAGGAAGAACATAAAAGAAACAGAAACTTCCAGGGATGCAAAAACAGTCAACAGACAATCGACAAAAAACCTTGAAATCTGTCAGAAACATTCTTCAGCATGGAAAAAGAAAAAGAAAGTATCACAAAATGAAAACCTTACACAAGCATCATCGTGACAGATTACTAACCTTCAAGCAATGCAGTTCTGTACCATTGCGGTCATATATATATGTGTACCTGTTACATTTAAGTAAACATAATCAGTTAAGCACAGAGAATGTTAGTTATGTACCATTAATAATACACTGGAAAAAATTACAATTTTGAGCATTTGCTTAAATGATGGTCAATGTAACATTAAGAGTTGCTCCAGGAAAAGAAGTTATTTTAGTGTTATGTGATCAACATACTTCACATTAAGCAAAATGAAAAGAACTAAGTAGATAACTAGACAAGATTGGAAACTGAAAAACAATTGCAAAGTACACATGGCTACGGATTTGGGTCAATTGGATTTGAACGGTAAAAGAATGATTGAAGTCACTATTTTATTGTGGTCCACCGATCTCTCCAAATCAGTAAGTGCCAAACAACCAAAACTAATGATTTGTCCAACACACACTAGAAAATGTATGCAAGCCATGATATATAGATAACCACAACGTGGATGAGCAACCATGCAGGCAGCAAGTGCAATTGGAAAAGGTTTCCACCTCATCATCACTGATGTTACAAGAGAACTAAGAAAAGGTGGGAGCAACAAAAATCATGACAGCAAATTGTAACATTCCAGGCCATGGTGGATGCACTTATCTTTGTGGTGAAAATGAATAATCTTTCCTAATTATGGTCATTTACATTCATATTATAACTAAAAGGAGGAGAAACCTTACTTCTTTTGGGCAGCAGCAAAAAACATCTCATTATGCAAGAACACCACATCACGCACAGTTTCCCTAACCTAAAAGAACAAGTAATAGTAATTATTCTCTACAAAATCCTAAAGAAAGTTTCTCAAAACCATCAAAAGAAATAGTTAGACAGTCAAATGACCAACATAGCTAGACAACAATGTAAAAAACACTTCCAGTGAGAAACAAACTACCATTCAACCAATATACTGAGCCTACAAATCAATAAATACGGTGAAATGCTAGCTTATAGCTCATCAGCAAAGTCCATTGGAATGATAATTAAAGATATGGAAGTGATTATAATTTGGTGTGATGGTTTAAAACTCAATTAAAAGAAGAATCTTAGGAGAAGAGGAACCAATTTGTCTGTTATATAATCTATGCATGTCTATATAAGGCAAGAGGTCCACAGCTTCATTATTATTCTTTTGAGATATTTAGAAGAAACTGGGGTTTTTAATCATCCAGACAAGAAAAATAAAGGCGGCTTAATTTGGACGCCCTTAAGCCAATTATATAAGAAAAGAAAATTATTTCTATAATATTATGCAAAACCTCGAAAGAGGTCATTCAAGAATTAATTTGAAATGAAAGGGGGCAAGGGGGAATCACCCAAAACAGAACAAGTCGGTATGTAAATGATTGAAAAGTGACAAGATACCTGAAATTCTTTAATAAGGTTCATATTTTTCATGTCTAGAATGGCCATATGACCCTTTCGTCCAGCTACTGTCACATAACGACCACTGGGGGTGAAATCGAGGGAGTATGGGCCGAGATCTGGAAAAAAAGAAGTATTAACTGATAGGGGAAAAAATTGAACTAAAATTGCACTCAGTAGAATAGCATATGAATCTTCCAACTGCAGACTGGTCAGAACATAATTTACTCATTGCATCAGAAAATAGTCAGAAACAATAAGAATGAGGTCCCAACCTGGCAAGATTATGTCATATTGGTTTCTTGAACCCAGGATGTCCACTTCACGAGCAATGGCTTCCTGCTTAATATTCCATGTTCTCTCAATACCTTCTGCTTCCAAATAACCTCCTTCACTGGGCATAAGCCACTAAGGAAAAAGAAAACTGTACTTCAGAACACAGTGAACTGAAATTGAAGTCATATGACAATTCAAAATTCATTGCTAAGGAAAAAAAAAATAGGGAAACGGGAATCCTCTGCGCAAATAGCACAACTAAAAAACATTGGGATATTAAAAAAAATCACCTTCTCAGCTTTGGCAGCAGCTTTTGCAGATTTTCCATACAAATCTTCCCTCACAGCTAGCTGACCCTTCAATTTTTTATCTTGTAAAACCTGTAAACATAGAACTACTTTCTAAACACTCGCCAAAAATCATTCAACCAAAAAAGATGAGTAAAAATATAGACAATGCTTTCATACCTCTAAATTAGCAGCTTCACCTCTCATGTACTTCATTACATTCATATCCTCCTCTTCCGAAATACCCTGCAAAATAAAACCCATTTTAAGCCTCCGTTCGGCAAAATTCATAAATCATTTAAAATGGTCAAACTTCATTTTCAATCACAAATTTCAATGGACTCACAAGTATTGTCATTTGTCCACCACTCATTTCTATCTATTTATAAATTAAACTGTTTATATATTCTTCCTTACATAGGCTAACATTGAAATTCAAAAAGGTAACAGTTACACAATTTTCCATTATTTTATCATTTGCCCATTGTCGAGTTTTTTTGTTCTTTTACCTTTTCTACAGCGGGCACAGGATTTATTAGAGCATCATTTGCTATCTTCACCCCCATCTTTTTCACCTTTTACCAATGAAACACCTAAATTCAAGCAGCAAAGAAAATGAACGAGTTATTATCGTATAGAAGAAATACATAAGAAGAAAAATATGTTGATAATAACAGAAACAAATAAATTTATAACAGCAAAATAAAGGCTTGTTGAGAATGAATAATGATTAGAAAACATTGATGGGTGAATAGGGGCCACGAGATTGAATAAAAGAAAGAATAGAAGGGTGGATAAAATCCAGTTAGGTACAGGGTTATTAAGAAGCATACTGAACAGCTTTTAATTGAGAATTTATTAATAAAACCATTGGTTCCATGCGTAAGCACAGAACCAATAGGTTGCAATTCGGAGTATTTTGACAAAATGCAGTCGCCAAAGCTACTAAGCACTACCAAATGAGTTCCACAATCACTAATTAATTCACATTAGGCAAAGCCTCGGCCATTATTAAGTTAATTGTATAACACTTTTACTGGAAAAGTGAAAAAGAGAGAACAAAAAGTTAACAATACATTGTTTTTAACACATATTTATTAATTAGATTAAACCAGAAAATCTCCATTGTCAGAACTTGATTTCAACTGAAGGCCATACATATTAGCTAGACGAACAGCTTGAAGATTACCAAAATAGGTAAGACAATTTTTCATCAATCTCTGACTTGCTATAACGAATTTTAGAGTAGTACAAGAGCTCTTCAGATTTTTGTGATTTGCTCAAAGGCTATTGAAATCAAGTTTACAAATATAAACATAGCAATATAACATAAAACATGGCAGAAAAATCTGACACTAAAACAGGGGCGGAGCCACGTTGGTCCGGAGTATTTCACCTACACTTGAGGGGCGGTCAGTTTTAAGGCAAGGAAGAAAACATAAACAACCGCATCAAAAATTCAAGAGAAATGTTGTCGAAATAAATCACTGCTGCCAGAGGAAGATTACCATCAAGAAACAACTATTTTGGAAAAATAAACAAATTATAAGGAGTTGAGTTTAAATTATATTGTTCAAAACAATCAAATAGAGTGCGATTTCAACAAATAAAGCCTTCTTTTACACTAATAAAATACGATACTACCTTCCGATTTCGTTGATGAAGAAGTTTAGTAGAAATCACTGCAACACAAGATAAATTGGTGCCAATGGGTGATGAATGTATACCTTTTTGCCTCTCCCCAAATTTTTAGCAAAATAGTTAATACCAAGGAAGAGAACCGAAAACCCCTTGTCCCCCTTTGCTTTATGAGGGCGTGTTTGTGTGCACCCAACATTGCAAAATTGAGTCTGCTCTAATACCATATTAGGAAGGATATTGGGCCTAACTCAATCTAACAAAACCGGCTTGTTAGTGCCAGTAATAGTAACACAATCTGGAGGAACCTCTGGCCAAAAAAAGGCTGGTTCTCCCCTAAATCATCAGTTGGGCTCAGGAACGTGTATATCATTACATGGTACAGATCAGCTTGAGAACCGGTGCACCACTTAACAATTACAAGAAGTGAAAGGTAGCCAAACAAGCTGTTCAAAAATATCATCTGGGGAACAAATTGATACCATATATTCAAGTCATTTCCAAAAAAACTTTACATTATAATGACTCAGGACGATCCCAAGATTCCTCTGGGCGACGCCCAAGAGAATTTACATTTTCATCTTCAAAGAGTTGAGGAATGGCAATTCACTGCGAGAACCATGCCACTTGGGATCAACACCAAATGGATAGGTGTAATGAACCTTAATTAATCCCACTGTAGAAGCATCCCTGCAGGTTGAATCTCTGCAACCATAAGCGGAGCTTCCAAATAAGTCCAGTGTATATTGAGAACAGTGCCATCATCATAATAACATAACGACCACCAAATGTCATCTCCATAATATCCCCAAGCTTCTGTCTGGATAGTTTCTTCTCACGGGATATGAAATACAGTGTTGCTAGAAACAAGCATATGCCATGGCCCCAATCTCCAAACATAACGGCAAATAGGAATGGGAAGGTAATAATGGTGAAAACACCAGGATTCGCTTCCTGGTACTTGGCCACCCCATAAGCATCAACAATTTCTTGGATAGCAGAAGTGAATTTGTTCGTACGGAAGTAAGTTGGAGGTGATTCCTTGGTCTGCAAAACTTGGAATATAGCTCCAACTTATGAAATGGTATCCATAGTTGCTTGTTGTAGTACATTTTGAATTTGGTCTCTCGCAAAACGGGACACCAGCCTTCTCCCACTAGACACTTTTTGGTCACATCAAGACTGAGCATATTTAAAGTGTGGTAAATAGATTTTTCCTTCTTCACCAGTAGGTTCCACTGCTCAAATTCATAACCAATGGTCTGCAACAGATTGGCCTGGTGCAGTTGTCCAACATCAATAGTGGCCTTCAATTCTGAAAGCTTCCCTAAAACCTCTGTTATCATCAGGTATTGTTTGCCCAGATCATCTGTAAATGGATATCGATTTGCTCCAAATGCATCACATATTTTCAATATTTTGCTATCTGCTCTCTCTCCAGAATAGAACACAAAGAAAACATTTTTTTCAACCTTATCTCCCGACACCGGATCAATCACTGGATCTTCCATTACTACTTGTAGTTGTCTAAGAAAAATATTTCCCCTGGTTGCTCTAAACAGAATTCTTTCAAAAGCCACAGATTTTTCTCTACCCACAAGTCCACTGACAAATCCCAGCTTCATTTGATTTAAGGGTTCTGTTGACATTTCTTGCTCAAGTAAGAGGGGACTATCGACTGAACCCTCGCCAAGGATATGTGCTTCAGATTCTTTGTGCTGAGCTGCAGCACTGCTTTGAGCTGAATGGAAAAACTGACTGGCTTTCTGTAGAACAAGCTTATATTCTAAAAGTTCATTATATGATCATTGCAGTCATCTCAACCAGCTCTGCTTCAAGTTCTCCAAGTTTCACCTCCAATTCGTCCAAATCGACATAGGGGCCCGCTGAAGACGTTGATGAGGGCGATAAACCTTCCTTTATCATTTGATCGCGAAAAAACCGTAGCTTGCAGGCCATTTCCCCACATCCTTTGATCTGTGCAGCGTATGTTCTTTGGAATAGGCTCTTTTCTGCATTTAGGTCATTGAATTGAAAAAGGCCGAGATCACCAAGATAGGAAATTGTTCGATACGCTGATTCAAACGGAATAATCAATTGTACCAACTGCATCGGCTCCGATCGTAGCAGATCCATCGCCGGCCAACAACCTTCGTCCGCCATACTTGACAATGATAACTCAATTTCAACAAATTTAAATAAAAAAGAATAGAAACCTAAATTAATCGTGAAATGTGCTTGACTTTGAATCCTCTCCGATGTGATTTGACCGATTGGAGGGAAATTGGAAAAGTGATTCCGCATTCTGAGTAGAAAGCTTTTTATAGTCATTTTTTTTTAAATTTCTTTATTCCCAACTCCCAAGTCAATGTGGAATTCTAATACACTCCCTCACACACAGCGTGGACCATGTCAAACAACTGTGAATAAATCGATATTGGGTGCACCCAACATTACAAAATTGGGTCTGCTCTGATACCATATTAGGAAGGATATTGAGTTTAACTCAACCTAACAAAATTGACTTGTTAAGGGAGGATTGCCCTCACCTTATTAAGAGAATCGTATAAATATCACCGGCCAATGTGAGACTCTAATAATGACCAAGGCTTTTCCTAGTGTGAATTAATTAGTGATTGTGAAACTCATTTGGTAGTGGTTAGTAGCCTTGGCGATTGCATTTTGTCAAAATGCTCCGAATTGCAACATATTGGTTCTGTGTCTTACGCATGGAACCAGTGGTTTTATTAATAAATTCTCAATTATAAGTTGTTCAGTCTGCTTCTTAATAACCTTGTACCTAATTGGATTTTGTCCACCCTTACCCAGAATGGCGAGCAAGCCTTCCTAAACAGCTCAAGCCCATGTGTTGGTCCACCTCACCTAAACTATATTGTCATCCCACAATCCGAACCCACATAGTTTAAATCCTTAAAAAGGTAAAATAACGAAAAAACTAGAATTTTAACTCTCTATTCTTTCTTTTATTCAATCTCGTGACTTGTATCCACCCATCAATGTTTTCTAATAATTATTCATTCTCAACAAGCCTTTATTTTTCTGTTATAAATTTATTTGTTTATGTTATTATCATGGTTTAAAAATGCGGTAGTGAGGGCGCGCCTCACTGTGAGGCGCATATAGTATGCCTCGAGGCGATATTTTTAGGCTAAAAATATGAGGCTCACGCCTCTAAATCTGAAGCGCATCTCTCAAGGCGCGCGCCTCATGGAGCATGAGGCATGCACCTTATTTAAAATTTGATTTTTCAATTGTATGAACAGAAATTAGAAATGACCATTCTTAAAAACGAAAAAGGGCCTATTTAAAAATGTATTTTGGGCCCAAGCAAAACAATAAAATACCTAAAAAACTAAACGACGGCCAGCAANTATGAAAAGAAATTAGAAAGAGCCCTTCTTAAAAAAGAAAATGGGTCATTTAAAAAGACATTTTGGGCCCAAACAAAACAATAAAATACCTAGAAAACTAAACGACAGCTAGAAATTAGAAGGAAGAAAAATGTCACATTGCAATTGGTGGATGAGGAAGATGATTTTGTAGAAATTGAAAGTAGTAAAGAGGAAGATGATGGGAAAATTAGATATGATGATAATTCCATTAACTATGCTAGTAATAGTGATGATAGTGCAGACTATTAGGCTTTTTTTTAGTTCAAGCTGTTTCTTTTTTTCCATCGCAAATGGAGTGATTTCTAACTTCT